ATCTGGTTGATCTGATGTTATTAATGGTAATTGTCGGAATATTAAACATGATCTTATTTCATTACCAAATGGTAAATGTTGACGATGTTCTAATAAATCATTGAAATTATCATGATTATACATAATTTTATCCCATGCAGATTTTTGTGGTAATGATTGAAAACTATATTCTGATGAAAATCTTGGTATTGGATATACGTCTGGATCAGACCAATCACGAAAATATTCATAGAAATGTACTAAAAAAAAACAATAATTACAAAAAATTATTTTAAAAATTTTATAACAATTGTGATAAATTATTTTTATTAAAATTTTTTTAGAAAATTTTAAGGTTACATCAGAATCATATTTTTTTCTAAATAATAATGGAGATCGAATATTATTGTAAAAGAGCGAGAGTAATAAAGTTTTCTAATAAAATCTTAAAAAATTGGTGATGCTATGGATTTCTTTGAGTAACAATTGAAATAAATAAATTCTAAAATGAATGAAAATTAATTCGAGAAAAATTTTGGACCCAAATGATTTTCAAAAAGAAAATTGAAATAAAACTGAATATTTTTATTAACATATAACTTACTGTCACCATAATTTGGATTGGCTGTGGTGATATAAAATCATCTTCAATAGTTTTATCACAATTTGATGGTTATGATGTTAATGGATCTGGTCTTGATGGATGATTATAAAATTTTCTTAACTCATCGTTGATTGTTGCATTATATAAAAGCCGATATTCTTTTTCAAAACGTTTCTGCTCAGGTTTTGTATTGTACCTTTAAATTTTATAATATAAATTATGTCGAATAAATTTTATTTTAATATTTCAAAATAAATTTAACAATTTAAAGTGTAAATCTTAAAATTAAATTTTTTTACCAATTTTGTACTAATGCAGCTTCATTTTCATTATTACCAGCAATTATTGCTATACTTGTATGATGACCTATACGTTTAATATTTTGTACAGTTGTTCTTATCGATCTACAAAGTATAAGTGTATGTTAATTCGTATGGCTGACGAACAGAATGTGAAATTTACAAGTATTACAACCGTTTACATATTTACATTTCACTATATTTACAATAAAAATAAAAAAACAATGCCGGTTCATAAAATTTTTAATTGTTATTAAAATATGATTCATATTTGTTATTAAAAGTTGTTGTTGTTCCAAAATTATTCTACAATATAAAAATAATAATATTAAAATTAAAGACTGATCACTTATACTAGAAAATATACTTACTTACATATATGTATTAACATTCAAAGTTTGGAAATGTTCAAAAAGCATATTGTTCTAAATTGCTCAATAGAAGTTTCTGTTTACACCTGTGTTAAACAAATATGTGTATATATATACATATATGTACTCGTATATAGATACAGATTTTAAGAGAAATTTAAAAAATAATATATGTATAAAATTTCAGTTTCAACAATGATTTTAGAAAATTCTCATTAACATTTTATTAAAATTTTTATTGTTGTGCAGCTTCCGAGAATTTATCCGATTTATGAAGAAGTCCAGTTGACTATTGCAAGTTATGATTAATTTCAAAATTTGGACAGAATTATTTATGGCTGGTATAGTGTGAATTAGTACACTTTCTTTGAATTAACGTTATGATTCAACAAAGTGGTAAACAATAAATTCTAAAAAGTAAACAATATTACTGGTGTGGCAAACTGCGACTCCCGAGTCAAATGATAAATGTACCCAAGTTCTATTTTAACTTCTGTGTTAATATATTTTAAAAAATTTTACTCAAAAAGTTAAATTAAGTTACTGAAAAATAAATGGAAATTATTTAATATAAAAATTTAATTCCATTTTAGTTAAGAAACAAATTTCATTCAATCATAGTTAAGAATTTTATGAAAGTTAAGAATGATAACTTTTTAATACAATTTAAATTTTGGCTCTCGAAAAATTTCAAATTTTTAAATATGGCTTGAATTAACGAAGAGCTTGACCACCCCTCATATAATAAATTTTAATAAATCTCTGCGAATATGATATTTTTGCTTATCTTTTTAAATTTAACTAAAGTATTTTTGTTGTGACCAAGTCCAATAAATCCAAAATTAATTATATTTTTTGAAATTCTTTTTATATTATAGGCATGTGTGTATCAATACTGAGTAGTCAGATACTAGAGAGCATTTACAACTTATTGCTTCTTCATTTTTGGCAAAGAACGACAAATAGCAGCCATAAAATCGTAATTTAAACTCTTGATGTCGTACTTAAAGTGAGCGTACCTAAAATAAATGCAAGTTTTAAAATGTATTAAAGTCTAGCTAAAGAATTTTATTAAGCATAGCGTATTTAATAGAGAATTCCCTCTTAATTTAGTAACACTTTTCAAATAATCTGTTTATTAATTATGTAGTTTTTTTACATGTTATTTCTCATTTAAAGCACATTGAACTAAAATAGAAACTTTTCTAATACATAAACTTGCCTATAGTTATAGAAAATCTTACATCTGAAAACGAATTCTTTAAATTATTTTTAAAAAATATTCCAATTTGATCAATTGTATTAAATGGTGTTGAATCTAGAATATTACCTTCACCAAAAAGAATACAATCTTTATGAAATTTAATTGTTTTAATGTTTTTAAATTAATGTTCCATAACTAAGGTGATTTTCGAGTCCACAGCGCTTCCGATATAATTTTGACTTTTTTATTTAGTTTTTGTTGGGGCATGCATTCATGAATAGTTCAATTTTTTGCAGAGAATGTTGTAATTTCACATAAAATTCAAGAAAAAATTTTTATTATTGTGGTCCTATGTTTTTCTTCAGGGTTACAATTAAAAAAATTTATTCTTGTTATCCTTTTTTTGAAGAAATAGTTTTATATAGTGAGAAAGTAAGAATGTTATCAAATTGTTAGAAAATGTAATTTTAAAAAATATAAAATAAAAAAAAAAGAAATTGTAAAACTTCGTACATATTTGTGCTTCTTAATCGCAACCAATTTTTGTTATAAGCATGAACCATTATGTACACAAATAATTCGTCACTATAATAATAATTTTCCATAAGTTTCTATAGCTTGCTTACAAATTATATTTTTTGAAATTCTTTTTATATTATAGGCATGCGTGTATCAATACTGAGTAGTCAGATACTAGAGAGCATTTACAACGTATTACTTCTTAATTTTTGGCAAAGAACGACAAATAGCAGCCATAAAATCGTAATTTAAACTCTTGATGTCGTATCTAAAGTTAGCGTACCTAAAATAAATGCAAGTTTGTTATAAGCATGAACCATTATGTATGCAAATAATTCGTCACTATAATAATAATTTTCCATAAGTTTCTATAGCTTGCTTACAGACTGAATTAGGTAGATATTTTATGCTAAAATTTAAAAATTAAAAATTTCATCTAAAAATTTGTTTAAAACCGATCGAAACTAATGTACTAATACAGCAAAATCAAAGAAAGGTGTTCTTTAGACAGAGGTTTGAAAAATAGGTCGAAAATACAGCTGTTTACCTTAATTCCAAATTCTCAGCTTTGTTAATTTGAATTTTTCCATTTTTTCTATAAAAATTTCAAACTCCGTGTACACTACACGTCTCCTTTTTGGTATTAAAAATGTTTTTGATTTGAAAATTGATTCCAGATGAAAATTTCATAATATTCTGGTTATTGTTAAAAAAAGTTCATTTAAACATTTCGAAATTTTCATTGTTCTTGTTATTTTCAGCTTTATGGTAAACGCTCATTGGATTCATTTTTTCTTAATAAATTTCCTTAGACTCCTTAATGTGCATATTTAAGTAATTTTAGCCATTTTGTTATCCGTTTTAAAATTTTAATTCAATTCTAATTCCTTATATATTTTTCTCTTCATAATGTTTTGATTTTAAATTGACAGCAATTTTTCAAAAAAATTTGTCTTGAGTTCGAATCCAAATTTTACCATTTTCTAAAAAAAAAATTTTAATAATATTTTCATTTTGAATTGAAAATGAAAAAAGAAAAATTTTATCCTCGTGAATATTTAAAAAATAAAAATATTTTTGAAAAAAATATATGTATACTATAATTTGGTGGTTTATATTAAGAGTTAGTTCCTATATATTTTGTGTGAATGTTGTTGAGTTTGTTAGTTGTTGTGTGAATGTGTTATTAGATTAAGTTAAAAGTTTTCAAAACATTTCCTAGACTTAGATTTTTAGAATTGCAGTACGACCGCGAGGCTTAAGGGTAGTCACTGGTAAATTTTTAGACCGGACTTAGGTCTGGATTCGTCAAAATTTTGACATTTTTTGTGTTTACACAAAAGAAATATGCTTGAGTTCAAATTCAATTTTTACCATTTTTATAAGAAAATTTTTTTTTTTGTTTGCATGAAATAATAAATTTTAAAATATAATAAAGTTTCATGTAAATACACAGAATTTTCAACAAGTTCCGAGCTATTGGAGCTTAAAATCAACTTGTTTAATTTTTGAAACTTTAAGTATGCAAAGTATAAGCATGTTTAAATATGTTTTGGGGAGCCTAAAACAACGGCTTTCTAATTGATATTCCTCTTCATGGTGATATTTTCAAATTTCGAAGTTGCGTGTGTTTAGAGTTTGAAAAATTTGAATTTTTAATTTTTAAAAAATTTTTTGTTAGTTTTTCAATTAATCGACGTAATTTTGCAATTTTCTCTAGTTTCTAAACTAAACTTTAATATGATAAACTTCAAGCTGTTATGATTCGGGTGTTATTCAGAAAATTAACATATTTAATATTTTTTTATAAATATATTTATTTACGTACTATGTACGTTTGGATTGCAGATTGAATCGAATTTTTAATATAATGAATTGCTACATTAAGCAATAAAATTTTTATTTGAGCAATCAAATCCAATATCAATTTTACGCTAATAAAGGTAAGTTAAAAATACAAGAGATTATAATAATTAAAAGTTTCGGATAAACAATTTAAAAAAGTACAATAGGAATTTTTTGGATACATAATTTTAATCATTAAAAAAGAAATTTTCTCATAATAAATATTTAATACAATTTTATACAAAGCAAAAAATTTCTATTTTTTACATCTTTCTGGTAGTTCTTCAGTTGTTGGATAATTTTCATTCATATATTGGTTTACTGTATAAATTTTAATATGTTCTGTTGATACTTTATAATCATTTCTATATTCTAAATAAATCATTTTAATTGGATCAGTTTGTATAAAACCATTATCTGATAATGTATAACTTGTAATATTATCATGTACAATTTCTATGTAAACGAATAATGCTGGATAACTAACTTTAACACCAATACTAATACTTGAAATTGGAGCCTGATATTTGCTTGTATAAATTTCCACCTGTTTTTTTTTTTTTTTGGTTAAAAGAAAAATTAAATAATTTATTAACTAAGTATTATTCTACAATTATAAATTTTACCTCTATATTTGGATCTCTTAATCCGACTGCTTTTTTAATAGGTTGAGGAAAATGATATGTTTTAGCAATAGTATCACCTCTACCATCCTTAAGAAGAATCTCATAAAAATATGTTTTTGGATCTATATTTGGTTCAAGTTGGAATGTATCAGCTGACAATACACTATTTGGTTTCTAAAATATAATTAATCAATTTTAAAATATTTTTTTGTGTTACATGTATTAAGGAAGAGTAATTACAATAGAAATAGTTTTGGCTGCATATATTTTTGCTGGAGCTAATGTATTATATAAGAAAGTATTCCGAATAATATTAAAGGTTAATGGTGACTTTTCGATGGTATCTCTTATAACTGTTATTTCAACATCATTTGTACTTTTATTTGAATGTGCTATTATTGATATTGGTTTCATAAATTCTTTAGCCCAATAATGAAGAATCTAAAAAACATTAATATTAATTTTTTTTATTAAAATTTATATAACAAAAAATTTAAATTATTGAATTGTAAAACTTAGTTAGTATATTTTATTTTTTTTACCTTATAATTTCCATTAAAATCAATACTAGACCATGATGGTGCTATCCAAACATCATTTAATTGCCAATATAATGCACCCATTGTATTATGTTTACTATTACGATTTTTACGAAGAATTTCAGTTTCTAATTTTGTAGCTAAAGCTTGTGTAAGCTGACTAAAGTATATAATATTTTCAGCATAATCTGGTTGATCTGATGTTATTAATGGTAATTGTCGGAATATTAAACATGATCTTATTTCATTACCAAATGGTAAATGTTGACGATGTTCTAATAAATCATTGAAATTATCATGATTATACATAATTTTATCCCATGCAGATTTTTGTGGTAATGATTGAAAACCATATTCTGATGAAAATCTTGGTATTGGATATACGTCTGGATCAGACCAATCACGAAAATATTCATAGAAATGTACTAAAAAAAAAACAATAATTACAAAAAATTATTTTAAAAATTTTATAACAATTGTGATAAATTATTTTTATTAAAATTTTTTTAGAAAATTTTAAGGTTACATCAGAATCATATTTTTTTCTAAATAATAATGGAGATCGAATATTATTGTAAAAGAGCGAGAGTAATAAAGTTTTCTAATAAAATCTTAAAAAATTGGTGATGCTATGGATTTCTTTGAGTAACAATTGAAATAAATAAATTCTAAAATGAATGAAAATTAATTCGAGAAAAATTTTGGACCCAAATGATTTTCAAAAACAAAATTGAAATAAAACTGAATATTTTTAATAACATATAACTTACTGTCACCATAATTTGGATCTTGTGGCTGTGGTGATATAAAATCATCTTCAATAGTTTTATCACCATTTGATGGTGATGATGTTAATGGATCTGGTCTTGATGGATGATTATAAAATTTTCTTAACTCATCGTTGATTGTTGCATTATACAAAAGCCGATATTCTTTTTCAAAACGTTTCTGTTCAGGTTTTGTATTGTACCTTTAAATTTTATAATATAAATTATGTCGAATAAATTTTATTTTAATATTTCAAAATAAATTTAACAGTTTAAATTGTAAATCTTAAAATTAAATTTCTTACCAATTTTGTACTAATGCAGCTTCATTTTCATTATTACCAGCAATTATTGCTATACTTGCATGATGACCGATACGTTTAATATTTTGTACAGTTTCTGTTCTTATCGATCTACAAAGTAGAAGTGTATGTTAATTTAACTACTAACAACAATATCACAAAAAAAAATTTACTCCAAAAAATTTTCTTCAACTGGATACATTGCACAACCAAACATCATATCTTGCCATATTAATATACCAAAATTATCTGCCATATCATATAAGAAATCAGATTCATATACACCACCACCCCAAACACGAATCATATTCATATTTGCCGCTTTTACGGATGCCATTAAATGTCGAACTTTATAGAATTTATAAATTAGAAAAATTCGTTTGGTATTTTTCAAAATATTTCAATTTTTTCTTAAGAAAAAGATTTTAAATATTTACTTCGGCTTTGATCGTGTCCAAGTTCTGGTAAAATATGTGATGGAATATAATTAGTACCCTTCATGAAAACTGGTTCATTATTTACTTTAAAGTAAAAGCTTAAACCATCATCTGCAACAAGAATAAAAAAAAATAATAATTAAAATTTAGTAATTATATGTTGTTTCCAGTTTCTAGTTCTTGTAACTAAATTAAGCAGTACATAGCTTCTTTTCGAAATTGGGTATTTGTTCCATTAAAGTAAAATGGAGTTGAGGTATTGTATTTTCGTAGTACAGCGGCAGAGCTACATTCAATTTTTACATTTCATGTCTTATACACCGTGATATATGAATAGGTGGCCCATATCAAAAATAAAAAACAGTCTTGTATTTGATCAGAAGGTTTTAAATCGTTTAATGAATTTAGATTTTAAAAAACTTTATGAACCACATAGTTCCTTGTTCTATTAAAAACTGTTAGGCAACACAATATTAATCGATTTTTGCAGCCAGTATTGTCGGTCAAGAGAAACTCATTAACGATTTGCAGAATCATTTTGAAGTTGGTTGTGATATTAAAGGCTAATTGTAATATTACGATTATAAGATTTTAGTTTTTTTTTTTTTATATAATCTTCAATTTGATAGCAAATTTCAAAGTAGGTTAGCAATTTCAATTCTTAGTTAGAACCACTCTAAAATAACAGAAGTACTTAATTTTGTAAAAGACGCTGCATAGATAACAATTAAAGTTGGAATGATTAATGATTTGATATGCATAATGCATATGATTTTTACCTAATTTTTCTTGAACTAATTCAATTGTTCTTAATCCAATTCTAATAGATTTCTGTGATAATGTTAAATGTCTTGGATCACTTCCATGTGGTGTAGTCCAACCATTAAATGTAAAATGTAAATGATAAAGTTTTTGAATTCCCAAGCCATTTGGCCACCATAAATCAGGATTTCTATTCTAAAAATAAATAAAATATACATAAAAAATGATTAATTGATTTACAAAAAATATAAATTTAAATGTAAATTATGAATTTTCTTAAATAATATTATTTAAAAATCTATTCTCTTTACATCAACTGTAACATTAAATCTGATGATTGAATTTTCAATTGGTTTTGATTCAAAAATAACTTTTTTAGGCTCATTTAATAATTCTCTGCAAAGAAAAAGCAAAATATAAAAATAAAATTTCAATTATAAATTTAAACTTTGCTAACACTGCATAGAATGTTAATTGTCCATAATATGGTTCTTCTAAACTTGTATCCAAATAAACAGAACAGGCAAGACTCCATTTACCATTATTTAGTAATGTTGTTTTGACATCAACATCCCGTATTATAGCAATATCATAATATTCAACAGTTACACGTTTCCTAAAGAAAAAGTTTTAAATAATTTTAATATTTACAATAATTTTTTTTATTCAATTTTATTTAGAGCTACCATATTCCCATTGACGGAGCAGCTAAACCCCAATCCCATCCGAAACTAGCTTGCATTTTACGTAACATATTCATATGACATTCACCATTATATATACTAGGTGGACATTCAGGTGGTGTATATGGAAATTTTTTTGCTCTCTCTTGTGCTTCAAAAATTGGTGATCTTATTTTTACTTGAAGAGTATTAAGTCCCTATATATATTTGTGATAAAATAAAAAGTTCAACAATTTAGTAGGGTTTTTTAATTAATTAATCTTTATTGAAAATATTTTACCGGTCTAATGATATTATTACGTCGAACTTCAAATTTATAACGTACAAACATATTATCGGTGGTACCAATCTCTTTATCATTTAATATTATTTTTGAAAATGTATCAATGCCATAAAATACTAAATTAATAAATTTAGTACTTTGTATTAAACTTTCACTAACAGTAAATGTTGTTGAATATGTCCAATTGTCATTTGCTAACCATCGCCATTTTATATCATTTTTTGAATATAAAATTTCATCTTCTGATAATCCTTTACTTAATGAATATGCACTAAATATTCCAGATGGTATACTTAATCCTTCAATTTTTATGCCTATTAAAAGAAAAAAAAAAAATTGATGAATATTAATTATAAAATTTTTATTGGTATAAGTTTTTACTCTTTCAGAAACTGTTGTCGTAAATCATAATAAAAACAAACCAGATTGATATACTCAGACAATTCTAGAGGGTTTTCGATAATTCAATTCTAATTAAGGTCATAATATAAAGCACGTTTTCACTAAATCAAAACTGCATAAACTTCAATAGTGTTTTCGAAAACAGCAATTGTAGTGCAAAAGAAAATGTGTTCGGAAATGGCAAAGAAATTTTTAGTTTTTTTTTATAACTACTGCCAAAATATTGTAAATTAGCAAAAGGCATTGTAGAAAAATGATGGATATTGAAGAATTGCTCGAGTATATTACAAATCTGCGAAAGTAAAATGTGTATTCAGTTTCTGCGTGCAGGAAACACGCAGAATGTGTGAAAAGACTTCTGGGATTAAATTTAGAACTTTAAACACATCTCCGAATTTTCGAAAATTCCCGTATTACTATAATTTAGAATTGATAATTTCGATTTCAAGTTAATTGTAATTGTTGTCAATAAAAAAAATATAATTATCGTATCCCTAGATTTTGGTCCGAATTGGGCAGTTTTGCTGTCAAGAAATAAGAATAGTTTAGAAATATATATTTTTAAGATATAATGTAATTTCTTAAAAAAAAATACAATAATTTCTAAATTATAAGAGAAGCTGAAAATATTCAGAAAGTTTTGAAAAATTCAAGCTTATTCGAATAATAAAAGCCTATTGATTAAATAATAATAAAAGCCTATTAATTAAATAAACTGTTATATTGCCATAAATTTAATTTAAATTCGATGGATTATAATAAGAGCATATATAAAAGAAAGTTATTCTTAAAAAACATTATAATCAATCACTATGTGATTTTAAGTGTGTTATATTGATTTCTTTGTGAAAAAATCAAACAATTTTCAATAGCAAGGTTTCAAAGTCTTAGTCTAAAGTAAGATTGTATATTACTCGATAAGATATTTTAAAATAGTAAAGAAGAAGATACTTAATAATAATAACAATAGTTGAGCCTTCCCTGTAATCATTTAATGGATTAAATATTAAGGCTATTCCCAAATTTTTATTTATAATTTAAAATAGAAAAATTTTGTATTGAAGAATTTATTTAAAGGTCATTTTAAAATTTCTGTATTTATGACGTAAAAAATTATTTCTGTTTTCTTGTTGTAGAGATTTTATTCTTTTATTTAATATTCACTTTTCACATTTTATATATTTTTAATTCGAATTCATTGATAAGATATTTAATCTATAAATAACTTAAATTAGTTTTTAAATTAAACATAAAAATATCCCTGACATCCAAAATGCAGCATTAAGTTACTACTATAATGTATCTGTCATCTATAGAAGAAGAAATATTTATACAATGTAACAAAATTAAAATTGCTAAAAATGGATTTCAACTACGAAAGCGATCTGCGTAGTGAAAAAATTCAGATTAAAATGCAGTCGTATTTTACTGAAGTTTTATGAAGTTTTACTATACGATGTTAAAACTACAGCTGAAGTCTAGTAAAACTTTTTTCACTAAATTTTAGATATCACTGTATAAATAACTATTCAATTTCAGTATTATAATATTTTTGATAATTATTGTTACATACGAATAAGACTAATATAATTTAACAGTGCTACATACAATAAAATTTCATGGTAAAAGTCACTTGATGTCATACATTTCAAACTAATAATTTCTCTTCAATATTTAGAGCATAATTGTGTTCACATTTTTAAAAAAACGGAAAACGGATTTTACAATACAGAATAATTCTGCTCACTCGAAAATTACGTTACACGAATATATGGCTAGCGAGTTATTTTACTTGCTTTTTTCATTTAGCGAGTAAAATAACGAAATACACTTAACCAGGGTGATTTTCTTTTACATGTGTACCATAATCGAGAAAAATTTTACTACGCATTATAGAATTTAATCAAAATAATTTTTGATTTCAATATTTTAATAATAGACAAAGTTTGAAAAATAATATATTTATGGAAACACACAATTGTCTAATACGAGTATTATGTAAATCCTAAAATTTTATAATATTTAATTTCTATAATTCGTTCATAAGGATATGAATATTCTTTATTTAATACATACTTAAATCAATACAGTAACCGAAGAATACTACATGTTTTTAGAACACTTATTTTAATATTGTAGCACTGGTCACTTCAATATTGATTTAATGTTTATCTAGAGTACTATTACAGTTGTTATCTTCGATTCATTATTATTTTAACAAAATAAACTACGACATTAACAGATATTAATGAAGGTACTCGTACTAATAGAATGTTCCATTTTGATTATACAAATTATTTTGGTACCAACTCTATCTGATTAGAAAATTCAATTAATTTGAGACAAAATTGAAATTTTTAAATTATTATTAATGTTATTGAATTGGTTATCACAATTAGATCAAATAATATTTTATGAAAGTTAAGAAATACTCGTAACTTTAATACAGCGTGGAGTGTAGATAAAAAAATCTTTACACAATTATACGTCTATGAGCTATTTAATCTGCATGCCGAGGTTTTTGGTCAGCTTTCCATAAATTACAGGCACGTTGAAATTATAAATTTCTTAAATTTTAAGTAACTTACTTCCATTTTCATTCTCTAATGTCCAATTTGTTTCTAATTCACCTTCATGAACCGGCTTACTAATCACAGTTTTTATCAATAATAAAATGAAAAAGTAAAAATATTTTATTTTCATTTTATTTTTTTATTATTTTTTTTTTGTTTAACTTATGCGTTTCGCGATCAATTCTAAAGCATTTCTAAAGTGAATTTGACTCAATGAAATTTAAGACTCCACTGAAATTGTTGTCAGTGTATTTTTTGTTTTGCTTTTTTTTTCAAGTTAAACTCTTTTTATTTTATTATCGCAATTTGTCATATTCTTACATACATACATACATACATACATTGATAGTACGTACGTATTATTGTTTCTGTAATAAATTTTTATCAATTGATTTTTTTTTATCAGGTTCTCAAGAACCAAAACAAAGAAAAATAAAAAAACAAAAAAACGAAAACAAAACTTTATAGAATGTTTTTGTTATTGCTACAAAAAAAAAATTTTTTTGATACAATAACAGCTGTTTAGCTCTGTAATCAAACTTGTACTTATTGAAAACAAAAAATGTTGGTACCTACTCAGATCAAAACTATGGTTTTTAATATAGCACATTTCCTTTTAACAATTAAAGCCATTAAGTTTAAAACTTATGTACTAAATAACGTCCACTTTCTATTGAAATACCTAAATATCTATATGTTTAATATTTTAAATATGTTTTATTTAGAAAACATTTCAGAGTGATAATTTTCACAAATACTCAAACTAGCATTAAGATTGAAGTGAATCGCCAATTAGCTTATGTAACGAAAATAAGAATATAAGTTCGGTGGAACGAGGCGAGCTGTAAGGAACAATAATTTGAGATGAAGATCAGTTGGAAAAAAAATCGTTTTATCGGAAAATAGAATAATTATGGATTTTTATTATATAAACATTAAAAAATCTGGGGTTGTTTAAATTTTATAAAAAATTAGAATTAAAATCAGTTTAAGAATATCGGTTAATTCAATGGATCAATAAAATTCAACAACATGATAATTTGTTTATAATTTTTTATGGTTTTTTGTGATAAACGGAGTAAGTATTTATCTTTCTGTATTTATAATTTAAAATATGCCTTTGGTTCGGACAAAGTAACTCTTATCAAACAGTTGCATTTACACGAATTTTAAGAGCAATTTTAACCTCAAAGAATGAGGTGAGTATATAATTAAAAAATTTTCATTACGAAAATATATTATATAAATATATTGTGTACATAATAAATAAATTATAAATAAATTTGTGTACATAATTTAATTTTTCCATATTGAATTTTGTTGAAGTTTTGAAAATGGAAGGACAGATTGAGTGAAATTATAAAGCGCATTTTTCCCAAAAATTTTTTTCCAAATTGTCTAAAAAGAATTTTACTTCAAGCCAAGTATGTTGTGATAACAGCCGTTTTGTATGTTTTATATTTTCAGAAGTGTCAGTATAAGATCAAAAAAGAGAACATTTCCTAATTCCAAAATTTCTTGTCTTTAAGTTCTTAATTGGATCTACAAAAATTTATGAGCTGCCGTTAATAAATTAGTTATTAACGTATATAAGCCGTATTCCACCATAATACTCGGTGTTAGTCATTTTTTACCGTATAATACTCAACGTTTTTTCCGAAGTTAAACGGTAAAATTGACCATAAGGAAATACATTTAATAATCATAAAAATTTGAAATTCCTTCAATTAAATGCATACTTCATGCGAAAAGTCAAATTACTGCTGAACGGAAAATTTTTATTGTATGGCTCTGATATTAAATGCTAGTGGACAGACTGTCTGATATTATTAATTTCTTGATGCAAAAATGGGATTTTTTTTTAATTTTTATTCTTCAAACGTTCTACAAACATAGGTATAGAAATTTATAAATTAATTTTCCCATAAAAAAGTGAAATGACGTTGAAAAGAATTGCATTACAAATTAGTGTGATATTTACGATATACGTGTATGTTAATGTTCATAATACTTATGTATATTATAAATTTTATATGTACTTGATATAAAATATTTTATGAACATAATATTATTCAAGAAAGAGAAATGAGAAATTTTTTATTTACAAAGTAGAATTACTGTTATTTATAAAAATAGAGTTGCTGTTTTTAAATTTTAAATTTTGGACTGTTTCATTACTGGACAAATAACAAAGCGGAAAAATCTGTAAATTCAGTTTAGATAGCTTTAATCAGCCCGATATTAATGTTAATTTTTTATCACTGATATAATAACTGGGGCGATTTTCGAACCAAAACTTTAACCACTTTAATTGAAATGAAAATATTTTCACTGTAGGTAAAGAATTTGAATAGTACTGAGTATTGAGTATTTCTGATCATCTTATATTTGTTGACTTCTAGAATTTCATATTATATTAAAAAATGAACTGTAGATCCAAATTCTAAATTTTCTCCATCAAATCATCAAGTACAGTAAATTTACTACAATTATTTCAATTACACTTCAAAACGGTAAGAATAACTTGTTAAATAACAAGAGAATTTAAAAATACTTTTAAACATATACAAATGTGTATAAGTTTAAAGATAATATTATACGTTTTATGCCTTGTGATATTATAAAGCGTCTGCTCGCCTAGCCTTCGACGATCAATTATTTTTAATAAGATAAGTGTGGGTTCTTATAGTTATATTTTTTTTTGCTTTCTATAATATAAGTGTATGTTATGATCAACATGGTAGAGTAATGCAATATACAATGAACTTGTCTCTGAAAAAAGTATACATACATACTTATGTACATATAGCTGCTACATATATGCACATTATGTAGGTAAGTACATATAGGTTATATTTTGTTATCACATTTAAGGTTGAGAAATATAATTGATGTTAATTTATATATGGAATGGAGCTTGATTTTTAATTGCAATCAAGTGTTTTGTGATATCGTATATAAGATGATGAGTAATAAGCCATAATTGAAGCGGAAGATTGCTATATAAATTCAATTTAAGAGAGAATTTAAAGAAAACATTCTTTAAAGAGCAGAACCAAAAGAAAGTTTAACTTTAAAATTATGTAACAATAACTTATAACATTATAATATAAATAGGTTACGCTTTATCGTAAATCAGAAACGATAGCTATGTTTTGTTCTGATCTAACAATTTCGCACTATGATATCGTTATACCGTTTCTATTAGTTGTTGGAACTTTTATTACTTTAAGTTCAAATAAACAAAAAAATATTTTTATAGAATTTTTTAAGATTCAAATACTCTTTAGTATATAATTATAAGAGTTATAGTTTAATAATAATAGTATAATAATAATAATAGTATAATAGTATAATAAATATTAATTTAGCTGGAACTTAATATGAACGAAGTTTGGAAGATAATTTTGAGATATCTTAAATATAACAATATTGATATGAAGTGAATTGAATAGGACAGAAGCATAATTTAGTTTATAAGTTGTAATTGCTGAATTGTATTTCAATATCGTATTACTGTAATTTAGTTTTCAAGGTAATTTTTAGATCACAAATTAAAATTTTTCTTTAATTTCCAACAATTTTTTATCGCCGTTAATCACTATGCCAAAGTACCCTCTATATGAGTTTCTATATGAGTATGGTATTTAATAGTAATAATTTCTTTATGCTCTTTATGGCAATAATCTCCTTCTTTTGTTTAATGTAACATTAAGCATAACAGAGGTTATGTTTATAGTCAGAATGTGCTAAATTTTATAAAAATTATTATTAACTAATGTTCAATAATTATTCAAATGAATTAACTTGTTTAAAAGATCGTAACATTTGTTCCAATATAAACTTGTATTGTATACTTACATAAGCGTTTAAGAGCGTCACTGAAGAATCTTATAAAATTTTCGTTTGTTTCTTTTTTCTGTGTAGCAGCATTTAGTTTATTTTCGTAATATTATTTTACCTCGGCTTGTAAATTTTTATCTTACAAACTGCTCTTATTTTTTATTGTCTGTGACGTTTTCCCCGGACCTTGGGTATGCTCAAGATTTTTTAATTTGCCAATTTTATTACATTTGAATATTTTTCATTAAATTTGAATATTTTGTTTCAATTATTTTTTAATTCTTTAATTTAAGTTTCAAAATTGTATTTTTTAAAAATAGTTCAAAATCTGCATAAATTTGAATTATTCCAAGTAAATTTGTATAAATTTTATTCTGCATTTGAAAACTCCAGTTAAATATTTCCGAATTAAGTTATAATTTTGGTTACTTCCATTGCTCTGTGCATTGTATTCATAATTTTCTTCAAATTTTCTTCATGTTGATTAATTTATTTTCATCTACATGTTTTGCTGTTCGCTTTAAAATTTTAATTCAATTCTAATTCCTTACCCAGCATTTACACATACAAGTTACTTGCAAGCAAGTTTGTATAATATTAATTGTCAATTAGTTTTTCGAAATGTCAAATTACTTGCTATTATGACGTAGGCGTTTAGCAAGTTAATTTTTGAAAATGTCTTTGAGAAGAAAACAACTAGCAATAATAATTGTTTATAAATTTTAGAAACCATAAGTTTGCTAAGTTTAATTTTTTCAAAACAAAATTCAAAAATTTTAAATTAAAAAAAAAAAAAAAATCAAAACAACAAATTTTTTTTTGTGAATTTCTGAATATGTCAAATTACTTGCTCAAATTACTGGCAGCAAAATTTTCTTGCAAGTTGAACTGCAAGTAAACAAGCAAGTAGAAATATTTCAATGTGTTAGTAAAATTTTTGTATGTATTGCAACTTTCTTGCAAGTAACTTGTACGTGTAAATGCTGGGTTATATATTTTTCTCTTCATAATGTTTTGATTTTAAATTGACAGCAATTTTTCATTTTCATGAAATAAGAAAAAAAAATTTTTCCTGAGTTCGAATCCAAATTTTACCATTTTCTAAAAAAAAAATTTTAATAATATTTTCATTTTGAATTGAAAATGAAAAAAGAAAAATTTTATCCTCGTGAATATTTAAAAAATAAAAATATTTTTGAAAAAAATATATGTATACTATAATTTGGTGGTTTATATTAAGAGTTAGTTCCTATATATTTTGTGTGAATGTTGTTGAGTTTGTTAGTTGTTGTGTGAATGTGTTATTAGATTAAGTTAAAAGTTTTCAAAAAATTTTCTAGACTCAGATTTTTAGAACTGCATTATGACCGCACAAG